TGCAGAGATAACTAAATGCCTGTATCTATGAAGTCACAGGAGTTCAGCGTGACTGGAATACAACTTTATTTTTATTTTTTCATCAACTTATTTTAGGTATAAAGTCTCCTTATATGTATTCTTTTTTAAAATGCAGTAAAAATATTCACTTTTTTTTTTGCTGTGGCTAGTTCAGTTTTCATTTGTACCTGTAATCATGTCTTTCTTTTTCCAGTACAGTAATAATTTGTGAGGAATTATTTCAAGTTTATGTTCAACTTTAACTGCTATTTCTTTTGCCCGGAAATCCTTCTGTCCCCTCAAGAGCTATCCAATGAGTCTTAGTACAATTTGCATGCAATAATTCTATTTGCAAGATAGTCCATCGGTAATATTCTATCATACTATTTGTTTTCTTTGGTATATGATCTAGGGCAGTGGTTCTCAACCTGTGAGTCGGGACCCCATTTGGGGTCGAACAACCATTTCACGGGGGTCGCCAAACAACGCAGTCCACCATTTTTTCCCCTTTTATTCTATTGGCTTTTGAAAGCCAATAGAATAGACTCTCTTGAATAGAGTCTAATTCTATTGGCTTTCAAAAGCCAATAGGAATTGTCCAGGGTGTCTCTGCCCTGCTGAGCTTGCCAAAAGTCCCATTCTGTAAACGTGCTACACCAGTTGAGTAGTCCTCGACTTACGACTGGTTGAGTAGTCCTCGACTTACGACCGGTTGGGGGGTCACGGCATTAAAAAGATTGAGAACCACTGATCTAGGGACTTTTTTTTTCTTCCATTCACTTGTGTCTAATTCTTGGGGACTGTGTGAACATGTCCTTGCAGCTTTCTTCTCGGGGTTTTTCTGAAGTGGTTTGCCATTCCCTCTTTCCTAGGGCTAAGAGAAAGTGACTGACCCAAGGTCATTTAGCTGGCTTTGTGTCCAAAGCAGGACTAGAACTCACAGTTCCCTGGTTCTAGCCTGATGCCCTAATCACTACACCAAACTGGCTGTCTCTAGGGTCTTTACCATCAAAGACAGTCCATAATTATTTGAATTGTTTCTACAAACTTTATAGATTAATCAATGACAGAATATAAAATACCTGTTTATTAGGTAACACCAGTCCTGATCTCACTGAAAATCTAATAGAGTTATAAATAAACTTTCAATTTGAGGCTCTGCTGCTTATGAACTCAAGGTTAAAATGTAGGTAGTGCTTTGTTTACTAAACAGTGAATAAGAATTATTCTCACCAGTTACTACTTAGCATCTGCTGGTGTCTTACCATTCTAGAATAGCATAGTGATTATGATATCTAAGAGCTCTGCTGATGTGAAAAGAATTTGTTTTCCCTCAACAGGAACCAGCCAAACGGCAAAAAGCCCATAAAGTGTCTGTGTTATTAAACAGAATCCAGACTAAATGTGAGAATTTTATATCCATGTCATGGCAAAAGACCATATCCATGGTCTTCCTTTTTACTATGTTGAAAGCTGCCAGCAACAGTCTCTGCTGCCTAACTGTGGAAGAACCCCGGTTCAGAGGATTAGTATGTGAATTTTGTTTGATTGGCAAAGACCTGCTATTTGAAGAAAAATGGCTGAGCTGTTTGCCAATGAGGGTGCAACAATGAAATTCACAATTCTTCTGGCACCCCTTGATTTTAATCAAAACACATGCACGCCATCCCGAAATCCTTTTGAACTCTTCTAATTCATGGGCTGGCTTTATAAGAGGATAAAATTGTTATCTAGAGAAAACAATAGGGTATAATGGCAACCATCTTCTTTGAGTTGTGGACATCGTTGAACCTTATGAAAGGTGTAGATGATGTCAAAGCTGAAATGTATCCATTATAATCTCATCTCCGTTTTTCATAAATTTTTTCCCCTGCTACCTTCACTCATTTTTTCAGTCTTGAAATTAAACATTCAGTTTTAATTTTAACTTTCTATAAAAAGATAGCAGGACAGAAAACCTTCAGGACAGCATATCATTTCTCAGCTATGCTTGTGTTCTCATGGTTATCCCTTCTATTGCAAGATTTTGTCCTCATAACTCAAGCAAGCAAAACAGGAAATTAGTATGCAATGCTTAAGCTGTTTGCAATGCTTAAGCTGTTGCAGAATCTATTGGAACACAAACTTCTTATAGTCTAAAAATTATATCAACAGGCTATACTATTCCATTCTAAAAGACATGCTGTAAACATAACTTCAAGCTAATGATCACAAATATGCTTACGGTACTTTTTAATAGTTTTAGTTAACAAAAATATAGCAAAAAATATCCAATATCTTCAGTGCTGTCTGGTAGTTTTAGCTAATAGTTACATGCTAACATCACTATTTGCTTTTAAAGTTACTTTGGATTAGCAACAAATGATATTAATCTCTAGAAATCCGTCTACAAGTAGTAAGGTGACATGTTTATCAAATTATCTGTGATATGAATTTCTGCTTGAAATATAAGATGATTCAAGAAATGCTTTTTTAAACTAAATTGATAAAAGTGATCAAATTTGCATATGCCTCTTAAACTGAAAATCTGGGACACAATATATTTGTTATTTATTTATGTATTTGTTCAAACAAGGTATATGGCTTCCATTTCACAACAGTGACTTGGGAGACCTAACATAGAAATTAAAGCCCAATAAAAGTTTTTCATAATAATTGGCAATTGAGGACAACAGTCACTATAATACTTGCATTTCACAGGTTTATTAACCTCTCAACCCCATATGTTTTTAAGGCTTTATGAAAATATTGCAGAACATCAGAAAAAGGAAACTGATCATCTATACCAGGGGTCCCCAACCCCCAGTCTGTGGACCAGTACCGGGCTGCAGCATGCCAGCAACCGGTCCGCACCAACAAGCAAAGCCCCATCCGCAGGATGCAGGCAGCACACAAAACCATGCACCCTCCAGACTATGGAAAAACCTCTCTCCATGGAACTGGTCCCTGGTACCCAAAAGGTTGGGGACCTCTGATCTATACAACATCTTCCCAAAAAAATGGATACCCACACAATATAGTACAACGAACACAAGCTGTGAAATGCATAACACTGCCATACATAAAACATATTTCAGAAACCATCATTAGAGCCACATGGCATCATCAGCTACACAAATCAATTAAAGCCCTCCAAAACATCATAAGTACACCAAAAGACCCAGCAGCCCCTGAAGAAAAAACAGACATCCTCTACAGCAGCGGTTCTCAACCTGTGGGTCGCGACCCCATTTGGGGTCGAACGACCATTTCACGGGGATTGCCAAACAACGCGATCCGCCATTTTTTTTGTCAGCCGGCGCAGGGGGCGCTGCCGCACATGCGCGTTGCGCAGGGGGCAGCACATGGGGGCGTCGCCGCGCATGGGTGCCGCGCATGGGGTGGCACCACGCATGCGCACTGTGCAGGGGGCGGTGCATGGGGGCCCCGTGCATGCGTGCCGCGCATGCATGCCATGCAGGGGGCGCCGCCGCGCATGCACACTGCCTGCTTATGTCCAGGGTCGCCGTATAAAAAGGTTGAGAACCACTGCTCTACAGCATACAGTGAAAGGCCTGTAACAGCCACTATGTAGGACAAACAGGCAGAAAACTGGCAGAACATATCCATTAACACCAACTAGCAGTCAGAAGACATGATGAAAACGCCATAATTTCACAACACATGGACAGACTTAACCCTAGTTTCAACTGGGAAACTATGAGTATCCTAGACTAAGCAAGTCCAATAATTCCTGAAAACCTGGCACTCAGACAAACTGGCCATCAGCAGACATACAGAGATAAACAATATCTAAATGCCATTTAAAAGAGAATATTAAATATAAAAATGCCCCACCAACCATTTTTTCATCCAGCAGAAAATTCTTATGATTAATAACTAAAATAAGAAATAAATAAGAAAATGTTGGTTATGGAAAAATAAAAAAGGGTAAATGAAATTCTTAGGAGTAAAATGTTTCTTTATCAAAAACCTACACCTTTTTGTTTGAGCTAATACTGTCAGTTTCAAGCAAATTTTCTTTTCATGGGGATTTGAAAATAGTTTTGATATCTCTTGTCTTCTAGTTCCAGCTTTGAGTAGAATCTTTTTGAGCAATCCAGAAGGCTTTGATTTGGCTCAGAAATCATAAGAACTTATATAATAGCATTAAATGCTACAATTTAGGTAGAATATGAATAGTTTAAAGGTAGCTCTCCATACAGTATATATTAGACATCATTGATGCCTCAAAATGAAGATTCTTGATACGTTTTAATGTGATTGTATTTTTATGTTTTTCTATCTGTCACTCAGACTTACTTCAAAGTGCTATATTATTATTTGTAACCTTATATATCTATTAAGCTGTATGGTGAAAATGATTACAATATTTTCTGTAATATAAGAAATCAATTAGAGTATTCATATTTAAACTAATATCTACCTCTAGTCTAGAACTTACTTATTTCACATATCCTAGGGAGTCACAGACAATTCATGGATTATGTAGTTTGGCCCTAGATTAAACAGTTATGGCTGCCTCTGCTGTGAAAGTTATATAGTATATGCAAAAGTACTGTTGCGTATCTTTATTAGTCAATTTCTGCAACTAATTTTACTTTAAAATGCTATGACAAAATTTATATTTTAAACAAATAAAATATAGAAAACATCTAACTATATATTCCAACTCGGTGTTTAATTATAAATGCTCTTCCATGCTAATTAAGTTTTATATATAAGAATATGACAGGATTTTATTGAACAATCATTGGGGATTTTTCTAGAATTACAAATTTTTTTTTGCCCCCTTTAGTCACTTTGAAGTTTTCCCATCTGTACAAAATGAAGTTTTGGAACCACAAATTAAGGCAGCTTTAACATTACCTGTTACTGCATTTGTATACCAGAGAGAGAGAAAGAAAGGGTTGTTAATTGTTTTATGTGCTCATCATTCAGATATTATTTGGCTTGTGTCCAAACCAAATCCTTTGAAATGAATCCTTTTAATTTTGCAGATTGTCTTCATGACCTTGACTCTGTTCCCCATCCGGCTGTTTTTTGCTGCGTTTATGATGTTGCTGGCTTGGCCTTTTGCCTTCATTGCCTCAATTGGACCTGCTGAGAAACAGCTAGAAAATCCTCTGTCATGGTGGCGAAAGTAAGTTATTATGTCTAATTTATTTGCCAGTATCTCTTGTCATACTTCAGTTGGTATGGTATAAGACAACAATGAGCTTCCCAGGACCCCACCTCTTCATCCTCCCACTAGCCCATCCCCAGAATGCGGCAGTTATTTCCAGTGATGTTATTTCAATGAAAGTAACATTAGGGTCAGGATGGGAGGGGTTTATTTCCCAAAGCATGAATGTATGTAGCCCTTAAGAAGCATGAACAACTGAATTGTGGCCTCCAGCCTCCAAATATTGCAGCCCTGAGATCAGTAACTTAAAATATTTCTTGGTATGACTCTAAAATGAATATACTGCAGAGAATGTATACTTCCATAATAAGGCATAAAGGTTCTTATTATATGATAAGAATTCAATTCATAGAATGTTCTTGAGTGCACTCTTCTTTCTTGTCTTAGATGATTGGTTAAAGACATAATGTAGGAATAGCTGCACTGTGCTGTGCCCTAAAATATTGCCTCTGGAGTAATAAGTTCACATAAAATAGAAAAAAAATTGATGGTTCAGTATCTCTGTTTCCCAGATTGTGTGCTGAAGATTTCCCCCTTCTGAATGTGGTTTTTAGTACATAAATCAGACAACATAGATTTGCTTAAAATGAATATCTTCATCCTACAATGCTACTTATTTTTCAGTGTAGAATCTTCCTGAATTACTTAAATTGCATCCATTTGCATTACTTTTCTTTTTAAATTTGAAGATGAGTTGCTGAAAATGTTGATAAGCTCTTGAGAGCACTGCTGTTTCTGGAAACATTTCTGTGTGTGCTCTGCCGTGCAATGTTAATACCAGGATTAACATAGAGTACATCTGATTGGATCAAAATCTAACAGTTGCTGAGCAGTTTAGCCTTTCCTCATTCATACTTTTCACATTTAGTCATATGAGAAATAATGTAGAAAATAGCCTTCTGTCGTCCGAGTGTTTCATCATATTATCTTAAAAGAAAAAGAGATTGTTCAAATGCCTAGTTCTGGTATATGCACGTTGAAATAATTTTTAAAGTAGAGACACTCACCTTTAGAGAATGCTTTGTGGCCAAGCTCCTTATGCATAAAAATGTAACTGCCTGCTTTGATTGAACATCTATAATGGATATTTACAGGGTGAGGGTCAGATATGCATTCACTTCTTATTTAATGGCCTTCATAAAGCTGATCTGATTGTGAAACTTGGCTTTTTTATTTTCCTGACTTTCCCAGTCATTTTGTTTGGATGCGGAAGAGACTTGATTATAGTTTCTACTGTGTTTCCCCGAAAGTAAGACCTACCCCGAAAATAAGCCTTAGCTTGATTTTTGAGGTGGGCCTAATATAAGCTCTACCCCAAAAATAAGCCCTAGTTTTGGAGCGAGGCGCACACCTAAAAATCAATCTGAAGTGGGGGAGTGGAGCTGACTCATGCGCCCCACATCCACTTACTGTTGCAGCTGCCTCTCCTCACCGGCCCACTTCTTCTGCGGCGTCCCCTGGTCTGCATTTTGCCATCATTTCGCTGAGAACAGAACTACAGATTGAATCCATAACTTGTTTCTTGGCTTCAGAGGCCTTCTGGAAAGGCCTCTGATGGCAAAATGCAGGCCAGAGCCCCATTCTCAGCTGCAGAGGCATTTCCTTTGGCCACAGAAGAAGTTGGCCAGCTGGGCAGGGCTGTTGATGCTGCCGCCCCGAGGTGAGTGGAAAAGACACCCTCCAAAAATAAGACCTGGTGTCTCCTTTGGAGGCAAAAATAAATAAGACTGGGTCTTATTTTCGGGGAAATACAATAGCAGTGTTGGACAAGGAGGTGGTAAAATGAAGAAAGCGATTATTTATTTCAATCTGGATAACTTAGACTGCCTTCAGTCCCAGAAACTTTAGGACTGTTCCTGTTCTGGAATAATCATTTCTAGAAAGCAGTAAACTGTCCCCAAATCAGCACATTCTAGGAGAATACAGAATGATATGAGGACAGTGGAACTTTCTGCTATAAGTTTTAAACACAGGTAATGAGCATTATAACTTAATTTTCATTGAATTTAAATCGGTTGTTTTGTCATAACTCCATCCATTTCTGTCCCCCTTTTTTTGAACTGAATGCCCTGACATGCTACTTAAATGCCAAGTATGGTTGTTGGTCCCCAAATTTGCACACCATCAATTTACCGTAAGTGGTAGTAATTTTTGTTTTATAGTGATCTATTGCAACCATCTGCTTTTGGAAGTATGTATAATAAAATCAGTCACAGGAATCACTGGGCACATAGGTCACATTTTACTGTTTAAGTAACTTTTAATTCTCTGACATAACAGTATGATGCTTTAGAATTAAAAACATTCTCAAGAAACAAGAACTTTTATCTTTTTTTAATAAATTCAAAACATTTGGCCAACTAGGAAGGCTTAGCATGTTATTTTAAAATAACAACTTTGCTTTTGCATCTGTTGTATCCACTTGTTTTCAGAATTATTGATATCTTGCTGAAGGCAATTATGAGAACAATGTGGCTTGCTGGTGGATTTCATTGGATAAATGTGAAGGGTAGACGGGCATTGCCCACTGAAGCAGCAATTCTGACCCTGGCTCCACATTCATCGTATTTTGATGCAATACCAGTAACAATGACTATGGCTTCCATTGTTATGAAAGCTGAAAGCAAAGATATTCCTGTGTGGGGAAGTAAGTAAAAATATTATCTTCCAAGTAATATTCAGATGATTGCATTTAGTTTTGGTAACTGAAAAACTATTCTAAACATTATACCAACTAAGCTAAACTATTGATTACCTGTTGAATGTAAAGAACAGAATTTTAAACAAAATCTTGTGGGGGAGGGCTCCTGCAAAACACTTCATATTTTTAATACATTGTTACTATATGTGAGTCATTCTCACAGAGTCATATTTGGACTTTGAGAATCTGTCAACTAGCCCCTTAGTTGCTCACTTCAAAATCGTTGGGATATGTATTATTAATCGAGCAAAGAATGTATTAACAAATCACTTCAAGGACCACTATTCTACTCAAGTAGGTTTAGAACTCCATAGCTATAAGGTTCAATTATACAGTTACCTATAATATTTTATGGATTACCATTGATTCCAAGATTTCTTTGTAACTACAGTTACATGAAAAAGTAAATATACCCCATGTAAACTATTTTTCTTGTTTAAACATATTTGGATATAATAATATTTGATCTTCAAACAGTATATAAAGATAAGGGTGACAAAACTGAACCAAAAAAACTCTGAAAAATTGACTTTGCAATCATTTATGCAAGAAAAAAATAATATACTTTTGTATAAAAAATAAGTACACTCTTAATTCTAATACCTTATATATCCCTTTTGGCAGAAACAACATCATATTAGGCATGTTTGACATCAGCTGGGGGAAATTTTTCCCACTCTTCCGTGCAGAATTGTCTGTTTAAGGGGTTTCTTGCATAGCCTGTTTCAAACCGCTCTACAGCATATCAGTGAAATTTAGATCTGGGTCAAAACCTGGCCTTTCCATTACCCTCCATTTCCTTTTATTTGTTTGCAACAATCTCTTGACAAATTTACCGGAATGTTTCAGGTCATTGTAATGGTGCAAGGTGCAAGGTGCTTCAGTCTTCTGACAGATTGTTTCTTATTATGTTTCAAGCATCCTCTAATACTATGAAAAAATAATAATAAGTTCTGTGATAAATGAGTTGCTCAGCCCCCTGCAAAGCAGCTTGAAATCATAACGTTGCCACAAGCATGCTTTTTTGTTGTCATTGGGTTCTTTTGCTGAAATTCTGTCTTTGGTATTCTCCAAACAAGTCTTGTAGTATTATGGCCAAATAGCTCTCATGTCTGTCTTATTTATTCAGTTCATTTTGTTCCAGAAGTGAGTGAACATTTGTCTTGTTCTGATGTTCTTTCTAGACAGCAAAAGTTTCCTTTTGGCACAACTCCTATGTAAGATCTAATTTATGAAGCTTCTTTCTTATGGTAGACTCGTGTACTTTGATATCAGCAGTAGCAAGAGTACTATGGAAAGTCGCATAATAAAATGTCAAGAGTTAGAGAACTTCATTCAGCACCTTGTGCTTTGTTTTCAGGCTAGCATGCTGCGCAAGTTGACAGTTGTTTAAAATGTTCCTCCACTATAGCAGAGAACAATGGAATGAGGGGTTCTTGCTGCTCTCTGAGCTTGCTTGTTTTCTTGTAGATGTTTCATTACCCTAATTAGGTAACATCATCAGTGCTAGTAAGGAGTGCTATTTGCTGTCAGTTTATATTTTGGTATCTTGCCTCTCTGTCTGGGTGGGGGCGATCATAGGGATGCTTTGGTTGGGCTGTTTACTAATAGCTCTTTGGCAGTTTTTTGATTTGGGGTATTGCTTACTTGATTGTTGGTCTGAAGTTTACCATACATTCTACAAACCCACATATTTTTGATCCATATTTTTTGCATGAACTATTTCTATTCTAGGCTTTTAGCATAGCTTTTTTGCAGAGGCTTCCTTACTTTACCTTAGCCTATAAAGGTATCTATAGGAAAAAGCTTTTAAATGGCATTGGAGCGTTCTTGCCCTTCCTGGACAAGAAATTGCTTGAAAATGTTTGGTTTATTATATTTTCCAATGAGTAAGAGGTTTTCCGATTATTAGTATATTAGTTTAAAAGTATTTTGTTCAATGTGTATATGTTTTCTGTTTGTTTCTTAATCAGTGTTTGTTTTAGGTTGTGAATTCAGATAATTACTTTGGTTGATGATACTTGTTGGCATTTTTTAAGTGATTCCATAAGCAGAGAAGTCAACTACACTTCTTAATTTAAAGTAGCTATGTAATTTTCTTTCAGGGAGCTAGATTGCTTGCAACATTTGTAGCTACAACTGGAATCAAATTATCAGAAAGACAATTATTAGATATTGCTCAGGATAAACTCCACAAATTTTTATGATAACTGCCTCCCAAAAACTTGTTGAATATTGCTGAGCCCTTGCATCTTGAGTATAACACTTATTTGCCTGTTGTGGAAATGAAAAATATTATATTTTAACTGGTTTTTTTTTCTCACAAGTAAAAAAATCAAGCTCTTAAGTAAGATGTTTTAGGGCAGTGGTTCTCAACCTTTCTAATGCCGCGACCCCATAATACAGTTCCCCATGTTGTGGTGACCCCCAACCACTTATACATCACCAGGTGCCAGGGGCTTGGCCAAAGAAAAGGGGGGAAAAATGGCGGACAGCCTTGTTTGGCGACCCCCGTGAAATGGTCGTTCGACCCCAAATGGGGTCCCGACCCACAGGTTGAGAACCACTGTTTTAGGGGGATTTTTTGCTAGCATTTTTGGAATACATTTGACAATAGAAATTCTGCCTTGGACTCACTTCTTTAGCTGAACTGTAGCAATAGTAATGCTACAAGCAAACATTTGGGAAAGATATCTGCTGAGCAAGTAGCTCCGGATTACTTACCTGAGAGAAGCAGATAAGGAAAGTCAATTTGCATCCTAAACAAAGATGGTAGAAAGTTTGAAATGTGATGAGATGTAGCCCAGTTCTATTTTTAAGCTGACATTTCTCTGTTACGAAAAATAACCTACAGTATTATCAACCTACCAAGACTCTTGCATTTCCCTATCTCTGTATTCTAAAGATGGCATCTAAGAGATTGTTCAGTTCTATTCTTGTAAACAACACTGTAAGGTGAGCGTCAGATGAAATATGGCAACCAACTTTCCTTAGCCTAGCTTGTTCAGAAAATCTATTGCCTGCTTTCCTACCCCCCTCTTGAAAGCACAGGAAGCTTTCCTAGATAACTATTTTTCTTTTGTTTCACAAGTAATACCATGCAAGTCCATGATGTTATAAATAAGTATAGTAAAATAGTTTAGCAAATGAGTCATGGAGTATGGTAGGTAAATTTGAGAATATATTTCATAGGCAATAGGGAGAATGAGAGGCGGGAAAAGAAGCTGCATGTACATAAATAAAACCTGTTTTATTTGATTCCTGATAGATACAGGATACTGGATACAGGTAGTTCTCATTTAGCAACTACAGTTGGGATTGGCAACTCAGTTGCTAAACGAAAAATCATGTGACAGTGCTTATGATTTTACTTTACTTTGCTTTACAGCAGGGGTGTCAACTGGTGGCCCGCGGGCCAGATGCATCATGCATAGGCCACACCTACCCCAGCTCCGCAAAGGCAAAAAATATCGCAATACGTCATGATAGGTCATGTGATGCGATCGAATTTGACACCCCGTGCTTTACAGTGTTAGAAGGATATGACCCAAAACAGATGGATGAGCCTAAATAGCAGGAAAGGTTTCTGTAACTCAACTCATAAGGAAGTTGAATAAAAGGGAAAATCTTATAGGTTTCCCCCCACACACACACACACTTGGGACTGCTCATCCCGGTGCTGAGATAATTAAGAAAAAGAGAATTAATGGTTTATATTTTCATTGATTGGAGAAAAAGAGATTACCAGAGAATAAGCAGATACACAGTAGGGAATACATCAAAAAGAATGCAGTTAGTATGACCTGTTTGCCTACAGCCCTGGCAGCTACGAACTAGAGCCACTTAGGGAGGGAAAGGAAAGTCTTCAATGTGAAACTGATTAGGGTCTTGTCAATTTCAGGCAGCAGCTGGGACTAGGCAGGAGGGATGTAATCAACTAAACCACAGAGCTGAGCTTGTTAACTTGTGGTTAGACCTTTTTAAGGTCTTCCTTGTGGAGAAAAGCAGTTCGGGAGGAGAGATTGTTTAGGCAATCACTCTGGGTTTTTGGGGGGGGAATGGAAGAATTGGGCCCAGGACAGTGCTTACTAACTGACTATGATGACACACATATGACTGAGAGGCACACTGCAAAGGTCATAAATGCCGGCATTGGTCACATAGTGGATTGTCATACCTGTGAACAGTTGTTGTCTGAGGCAGTTGATCAATGAGGACTACTTGTACATTTTTGTCCTTTTCTTAGGAATAGCAATAAAATAGTTTGCCATTTGCTTTTTGGGGGGGGGGGAATATTGTTTTGACTTCCTAATCTAATCTACAGCCATGGTGTTCTTGATGTTTGCCCTTGCAAGTCCTGACTAGTTCCAACGCCATTGGCTTTTGCTGTATCTATTGAGAGCTGCCATGCTGTATTTACATTTGAAAAGTCTCCAGTAAAAATTCAAAGCTCTCTTTGATTAAAGTTGAATAAAATTCCTAGGAGATGGCCTAATAATGTTCTTCAAATTAATGCTTTCCAAAGGTATTGAATTATAACTTTTAGAATTCTCAGTATATATCTGGAAATTCAAGTAATCTATCTAGAGCAGTGGTTCTCAACCTTTCTAATGCTGCGACCCCATAATACAGTTCCCCATGTTGTGGTGACCCCCAACCACTTATACATCACTGGGCGCCAGGGGCGTGGCCAAAGAAAAGGGGAAAAAATGGTGGACAGCCTTGTTTGGCGACCCCCGTGAAATGGTCGTTCGACCCCAAATGGGGTCCCGACCCACAGGTTGAGAACCACTGATCTAGAGAGTCAGGTAAGAAGATTGTTTTAGATTAGCTTTTCCTGTAAGAAACAGGCTATAATAACAGTGCAATCCAAAATAAGTTCATGATAAATTATAAACATAAATGTGATGTAACGGCAGTCATGAACCAAAATAACATAATTTTAAAATTACATGGTGTTGACTTTATAAACTTTTCCCTAGGGCTGCTATGCTTTGGCTTTTTAGTTAAGTTTTCATCTCATCTAGAATAAGTAATTGTCTCAAATGTTTGAAGCTTCAAACTGTACTCAATTCAGTAAGGTAATTTCAAAAAAAGAGAGAGTAAAATGAGTATGTTAAATTGGATTTTAAAAAGTGCTTCCAATTTAAGGGTTCAGTGTGCAGAGTAATATCTAAATAGTTTATTTTAGTTTATTTTTAATGTATTGCTACTACTGTAGCACTCAGCAGTGGTTGCTGTTGGCCATAATAAAAGTTTAACAGTTACACTATCTTTTTTCTAGAATATAGTTTAACAGTTACACTATCTTTTTTCTAGAATATGTTTATCAATTATATTTTCCCCCTCTATTTAATAATTGATGCATTTTATATAATCTAAACAACTTGGGAATGTTGACATTTCTGTGTTTCTTTCTAGCTTTAATCAAATATATTCGACCTGTGTTTGTATCTCGATCGGATCAGGATTCCCGCAGAAAAACTGTTGATGAAATAAGACGGCGTGCTCAGTCTAATGGCAAATGGCCACAGGTATCAATAAAACATCTTAATTTAACTGTATTTCTTGCCTGTAAACAAATACTATAAATATGCTATTTTTGTTCAACATAATTGCCATCTCCACTATAAATCCCAACAGTGATTAAGACAAATTTCAATTTGAATTCAGAATTTTCATTGCCCTATTGAATTAGCATTCTCTTACTTCTCTCCTATATTTAACTTGATTGAAAGTGGTAAACCTACCTATAAAAACAGAAAAATTGCTGTTTTTAAATAATACTTAGGAATTTTTAGTCTGTATTTCAATATCTAAACCTGCGATTTGCCCATGAATGTTTATGAAGGAGGATGTTAAACTGTCTTCTCTGAATGTTGGCAGGCAAAAGAAATATTATTTTTGTTTTTAGTTTTGATTACATACAGATTTATTATTTTATAATAATATATTTGACATAACTGATAATAATTCATTTGAATGAAATTTGTGATTCATTAGCACTCTAGTTCTTTTGTTTGTTAGATATCTGAGAGCTTGAGAATCATGATTTCCTTTTCTATAGTGGTCGTTCATCTTACTATTTACATGGTACTTAATAGTGATCGTTATTTCAGTTTAGTATATTACAAATAGTGGTGAGAGAATTTTCAGGTTATGAGATCAATTTTGCATTTTCCCCCTCCTTACATATGATAGGACATTTTAGCTTTTGTCTTTTCTTTTATTTGTTGGGAAAATGTGGTACTTTTCCTGCAATCAATTTTTTTAATATGCATACACATAGTTGGGAGAGATGAATGATCTTTTTGCATTGATGCCTCCTTGGCTTAGGAATTGTGCTCATCTACTAATGTAGGATTAGCAAAACAGAAAAAAAAAAAAAACCACCCACAGGCAGATGAACAAAGAATGTATGTGCCAGGCCTATTGAGCTGACCAGGAAGTCTGAGTTACAGTCCTGTCCCTTTGTCAGATTCTCTTCATCTTCACTTAGCCTTTTCCTAGACATTTCACAATACATTGTGGGGCTTGTGCTTAATCTCATCTTCCTTCTCACGCTACTTCTGGCTCTGTATATCATCTCCAACCACATTTTCTTCATTTTATTGCCTTTTTTCTTCATTTTATTGTCCTAAATGGTATAGATTTGTCCGAAATGGTATAGGGCAGTGGTTCTCAACCTGTGGGTCGGGACCCCATTTGGGGGCGAACGACCATTTCACAGGGGTCGCCAAACAACGCAGTCCACCATTTTTTCCCCCTTAGCTGTTGGCTTTTGAAAGCCAATAGAATAGACTCTCTTGAATAGAGTCTAATTCTATTGGCTTTCAAAAGCCAATAGGAATTGTCCAGGCTGTCTCTGCCCTGCTGAGCCCGCCAAAAGTCCCATTCTGCAAACGGTGCTGCACCAGTTGAGTAGTCCTCGACTTACGACCTGTTGAGTAGTCCTCGACTTACGACTGGTTGGGGGTCGCGGCATTAAAAAGGTTGAGAACCACTGGTATAGGGTTTCCTGCCTGAGCAGGGGATTGGACTAGATGGTATCCAAAGTCCCTTCCAATTTTATTATTGTTATTATTATTATTAAGTGGTTAATAGCCACGACAGTCTTCACAGTACACAACATAAGCACTCAGAGAAGACTTACTGAGAAGAAGCACTTTTTTCACTGCATTTCTGTTTTAAAAGAAAGGTAGAGGAAAAAATCTAATAGGGACCATTTTAAGGGCCTCAATTAGTATATGCTTATTTTGCTTTTTATTGGAGCAGAAAAGAATGTGAAGTATCCAGTTGGTGTGGTCAGGTATAGGCTTGATTGAGAGGATTTTGTGCTAAATACTTTTTTCTTTTTAGAAAGGAAAGAGGAAGAAAATAGAGCAGAAAACCAAGTATCCAGCATTGTGCTAAACAGAAAAGTCATTGGTTGACTTTTAGGCTTATATGCTGAAACAAAAGACAAGAAATCCATTAAAAGTGTTGAAGGTCTTTAAAATAATAGGAGTTGAATATGATTGTTATATTGGACTCCATGAAAAATAAAGAAATTAGTAGGTTTTGGAAACAATAGACAATTAGGGTTTAAGGTTAAATTTCTGATCCATAGAAATTTAAATGTAAATTGTCTATCAGTGAAGTCATATCATCCCAATTAAACATCTGTTTGTTTGAATCTAAGAAAGCCATTGATAAGTGGTTCTTATATGGATGACTTGAATGTGGAACATTATGCTCGGTACAGTATTATGTTGTAATTACAATTCTGCAGTGAAAGGTACATAATTCTTATAATTCTAATATATGGTCACTTGATTTTTTCTTTGCTTTTCTGAGTTTGCATTATTGATGGATCCATTGGTTCAGGCTACTGATTTTTCTCATAAACCAACCTGAATTAATACTGTCTGGTTTGATTAATCGTTTGATTAATCAGAATTATCAGGATTTGGAACATGGGACTTTATCAGTTGAAAGGAAATCTAGAAATGAAGTTTTGATTTGCTTAATAGCTTAAGTCTCTGTTTTCTTACTATCAAAACCAGCTTTCTTTATTTGGGCACTATAATATATTCGCTAACAAACCCTAGGCATTAACTACATCTGTTTACAGAAAACATACAGCTGGCATGTTCTCCAATCATAGTGAATGTAACATATGAATGAGGTCAGTGTGGCAAACTGGTGTAGTTCTTTTTCAGCAGTATTTTCAATGGTGTTCATTGAGCCTTTGAAAGGAAGGCAGGGGTTGTCTTATCCAGCTTGTGAAATGAACCAGCATTTGCTGATCACTGGATAGGTATTCCTATACAGATAGTCCTCGAACTCAACATTTCTGTTGTTAAGTGAGACATTTGTTAAGTGAGTTTTGCCCCATTTTACGACTTTCTTGCCAGAGTTAAGTGAATCATTGCAATTGATAAGTTAGGAACCTGGTTATTAAGTAGATCTGGCTTCTCCATTGACGTTGCTTATCAGAAGGTTGCAAAAGGTGATCACATGACCCCGGGACACGGCAACGGTTATAACTATGAACCAGTTGCCAAGTATCTGAATTTTGATCAAATGATCATGGGGATGCTACAAAGGTTGCAACGGTATTTACCTTTTGTAAAAGAAGTCTGTAATTGCATGTTGTGACTTAACTGTGCTATGTAATTGCAGCACTTTGCTTATGGAATGCATGTAGAGCCTAATAATAAAATATCCATGACTTTACAAAGGCCTCCCACTTCTGCAATTATAACACTGACCATTTTTGTTTAGTATAATATAAACATAGTGAATATTTGAATGATTTTTAGAGCAATTGTGTGCTTCAAAAGGGAAAAGTCTCAGCATTTATTCATTTCTGAGTAAAGTGAGCTTAGAAAATATGAGTATTTTTTCCCAAGAACTCCTTAGTGATTCATACAACTATGTCTCTTAATCAACTATCTTTTTCTCTGAATTGAATGAACCAAGCAATTTAGCATTTTCTTATATAGTGATCATTGTACCCCCTTTTTCTCAATATTCTCCAATTTAATACAGGTAGTCCTCAACTTATGACTTCAAACAAACCCAAAATTTCTGTTGCTAAATGAGACATTTGTTAAGTGAGTTTTACCCCATTTTACAACCTTTTTTTTCACAGTTGTTAAGTGAATCACTGCAGTTAGTAACACAGTTGTTAAAGAAATCTGCCTTCCCCATTGACTGCTTATCAAAAGGTGACCCTGGGACATTGCAGCCGTCATAAATATGAGTCAGTTGCCAAATATCTGAATTTTTTTTTTTATTAAAAAGTTTTTATTTTCCATTTATTCATACAAAATACAATTCAATTAAAATAAATTCCTAACTATTGGTACTGCCTGCCCATTCCCCCCAGGCTGCGTCCACCCTCTCTAATCTGAATTATCTGAAGTATCTGAATTTTGATCACATGATCAGGGGATGCTGCACATGTGAAAAGCAATCATAAGTCAGTTTTTTCAATGCCATTGTAACTTCGAACAGTCACTAAATGAATTGTTGTAAGTTGAGGGCTACCTGTAATATCATTTTTGAGATTGAACAACTAGACCTGAATTAAATATTGAAAAGTAACCATGCATTTTGAAGTTCTAATAATATTTAATATTGTCATTCAGTTATATTTTCAATATACCCAACTTTCCTCATATACAGATCTCTTGCTTAAATTTGAGTCCTTTCTGCAACATTCAGTGATTTGGGAAGAGAACTTTTTGCAACACTCTAGAATGTTCTGTTCCTTCTGCAGACTATGTCTTTGCAAGGGTGCTTCAGCCATTCCTGGAAGTCAGTTCCCTGAACTTGAAGCAGTTTGAGGAATTCCAAACATGGGGTCTGAGGAGATAGATTAGTGGCTGCTATCCCAGTGTATTTTCTTCTTAAGAAGTAAAGAGCTATCTTCTTAGATAAGAAGGAATGGGTGTATAGAGAGAAAACATTTCATTGTACTTCCTGCCTTTCAGAGTGCCAAAGATGAAAGTGCTTGTATGGACACTAGACCTCATTCCATGAATTCTTTCAGAGATTACTACTTTCCCTTTATAAGTGCCTTGAGTAGCAAATTCAAGACTATAAATTCTGCATTTGAAATATGTTTCCTAAGAGGATGTTCCAGATGCCTAAAAAATATTAACCAGACATTTTGATTTCTTTTTTTTAAGATAATGATATTCCCAGAAGGAACCTGCACTAATCGATCCTGCCTAATTACATTCAAACCTGGTATGTATTTTGTACAACTTTCCTTTAATAATTTTGGATATTGAAACATAAAATTCAGTATTCGTTATTGCTTAGTTTCACTTCCTACATTACAACAAATACGGCCTTTTCTGTTTCTTTCCTTTGCAGGGTAACTAGAGAGTATTTTTGTAATGCTTATACATATGTAAATATTATGCCTTGTAGAATTTAATTGACGCTTGGCCTCTTTAAGAAATTTAAATATTCTGTTATGACTGTTCCCTGGCAAAATACAAAGACTGTTCTTGATGTATGTGCTTTTGTGTTTACTTGCCGCTGTGACATTCAAAAAAATATTTTAAAATACTCAGATTGCATAACTTGTGAAATATATTGATATATTTGAATTTGAATTTATAATCCAGGTTCTTGTGATTGTGCATTGTCAATAACTGACTGCATTGCATTAATCTTTCCTAATATTACCAATTTCTGGTCCTTTCCCTGATGGCATGACCTAAAGCTCTCACAGACAGAAAAAGAAAAGTAAAAGCAAAGTTTGGAAACTTCTTAATTCAGGAGAAATGTTTGGTTGAGCAGATTTCAATAAAAGTTTCAATAACCGGATAACATACAGAGGAAATTAAAGATGATTGTAAAACTCTTTATATAAACACCCTAAGTCAGGGGTGTCAAACTGCCAGCCCGTGGGCCGGATGCATTATGCCAAAACCGCGCCCACCCCATTGCTGGCAGTGGAAAAAATGTCGCAATACATCACAACATGTCACGTGACATTGCGAGTTTGATACCCCTGCCCTAAATCCTCTTTCATTGGAACTTTGAAAGAGGACTTCAAAGAGTTTTGTACTCGTATAGGTAAATTGCTGAACTCTAGAGAAAGGTAAAATAATGAATGTTGACAATACAAATCTTGAAGGGTACTAGCAATCTTTCAAAGATGTTAATTTCTGTATTGGAGAAACCGAAAAACACATAAAACAGTCTTGATTTGTTTACTTGTTATGTCTTTCTGGTTTTCAAATTTAAATTTTGATTTATAATGCATTTTTCCCCATCTAATATCTGTTCCATTGAGATTATCAGTAATAATGTCAATTACATTGACATAAATATTTAAGCCATAAACATAAAATCTATGTGGAAAACTTATACAAAGCAGATTTGTTTTCCTTTTTTTTAAAAAAAAATTGTATTGTTGGAAAACAAATATAAAGATATGCAACACATTTCAAATTCAAAAAACATCAAGCATAAAATGGGTTATTTTATCCATTCTGGAAGTATCCTCATGTTGAAATGGCCCTAATTTGAATTCCAAATGTTTGTTTCAGACTCAAATCAGAACTCTTTAAAACTCAAAACTCTTCTAAAAAGGGCAGAACCACCTGTTTCATCTCGCAATGTTTCTTATTCAAAACACTATGTATATTCCAATGGAGAGGCTTGTAATAGAACTTTTGCTCTGTCCATTCTGGAAAATATATATCAACATCAAGGAAAGATGTCTTCAGGGAAAAAAACAAAGTCCAGTTGCCTTTCGGAGCAAAAGAAAGAAAGAAAAAAAGCACTTTTGGAACAACTATAACCTGGAGGACTGAAAATCTCCACAGACATATATCAACATTGAGGGATTATATTGGCAGGAGAATATTGCTGTCAATAGACAATTGTTTATTTTGTCTAGAAAATAAACACTGTTAAAGTATTAGTTAACACAGAATACTCTATTGCTCATGCAATTCAAAGTCCAGGCTTAATCAGCTTAGAACAGAGTTACTGGAATCAGCGGTACTTAAGTTAGATGTAAGTAATTTAAAGGTCATTGATTTTAGTGGGTTTTCTTTGGCTTTAGATCCATTCAGTTTTCTTTAAGACTATAATATCTTAAGAGTGAGAGAGTATTATAATTAAATGTACCCCATGCATATTGTAGGAGCGTTTATCCCTGGAGTACCTGTGCAACCGGTGATCTTACGTTATCCAAACAAGCTGGTATGTATTGTACTGATTATATATATTAATATCTGAAATAATACTGTGTGTTAGAGGAGATATTAAATTATTGGAAGGTATTGGAGGGATCTTGGAGTCCTAGTGGACAATCGCTTAAATATGAGTCAGCAGTGTGCTGCAGCTGCCAAAAAAGCCAACACAATGCTAGGCTGCATTAACAGAGGGATAGAATCAAGATCACATGAAGTATTAATACCACTTTACAATGCCTTGGTAAGGCCACACTTGGAATATTGCATCCAGTTTTGGTCACCAGGATGTAAAAAAAGACTCTAGAAAAAGTAGACTGGGGGCTAAAACATATAAGGAACGGTTGCTGGAATTGGGTATGTCTAGTTAAATAAAAAGAAGGACTAGGGGTGACATGATAGCAGTATTCCAATATCTCAGGGGTTGCCACAGAGAAGAGGAAGTCAGGGTATTCTCCAAAGTGCCTGAAGGCAGGACAAGAAGCAACGGATTGAAACTAATCAAGGAGAGAAGCAACCTAGAACTAAGGAGAAATTTCCTGACAGTTAGAACAATTAACCAGTGGAACAACCTGCCTCCAGAAGCAGTGAATGCTCCCAGTACTGGAAGTTTTTAAGAAGAGACTGGACAGCCATTTGTCTGAAATGGTATAGGATTTCCTGCCTGAGCAAGGAGTTGGACTAGATGACCTCTAAGGTCCCTTCCAACATCATTATCAGCTTCATCATCATCATCATCATCATCATCATCATTATTATTATTATTATTATTATCATCATCTCAAATCTATTCCTTGAAAAGTAAAGGACCAATACTTTGACTAGATAAATGTTGAATTTTTTTTTAATGTTCTATTGCAAGACAAATACTCTACAGTACATCATGAACTGGCTTAATTCTTCAATGTGAGAGAGCAAATAAGGCATTTTACAAAGTTAACAGTTAATTTTGGCCATTAATCAATTTCAGTTATAGTTATATAACTACATAATTATAATTCAGTTATAATCATGCCATTAAAAACAATCTCTGCCTGCAAAGTTTGAAAATAGTAACTATAAATTTAAAAAATAGTGATGCAAAATTAAAAATTATTGGAAAAATAAGCTAACATCTTTTAGACATTATCAGTTTAATTATAATTAAGATTTAAATGATATTTATATAATAGTAACATAAATAGCACTTGTTAATAACAAAACCTGTAGTACTATAGGTTAAGAGCACCAGTGTGGGTAAAAGTTAACAATTAGATCTCAGTTAATTTTGCATTTGGCTGAACAATGTTTAGCTGTATTATTTAAGAAAATTATATTCATGGTCTTATAGCTGCTTATATAGCCAAGCAACCTAGAAGATAATGGAAAAAGAAGAGGAAGGACTTTTGTAAAAAAAATAAGTGAAACAAAATATTAGCTTTTATCTGTGATGGGCAATCAGAAGTCCTGTTTATACCAGTTTAGCACTTTTTCTAAGCAATAGTCAGTCTTAAGGGAAGCCACATTGGGTAGGGGATAACATTTATTGTGCTGGCTAAAAAGAATTGTTTTGGTATAAGTATAATTGATATTTTAATCTCTAAATTAAGGGATGTTCACTTCATATTCCAAGAATAGCAGTCAAGCATAGAGCAAGAAAAATTAAAAATGGGATTGTAATTTGGGCAGAATGTCTTCACACTTTTCTAACCTGAGTAGAAAAAAATGGATGTGTGTATGTGTTTCCAGTGGTAATCAGGATTGTAGAGGGGTACAGTGCCTTTGAACAGAACTTGGCAAGGTGTCTTCTTCCATAACTCCCTGGCTGACTCTTCAGTTTCATTTTTTTATTGAGTACTTTATTTCATTTTCGCTGCTGATGTCTATTTTTCATTCTCATCTCTCAATTTCCTTCTTAACTTTTTCTCCTTCTCTGATCCTCTGCTAGTCCATTCAACATTTTGCTTTTGTGTTGTGGATGATTACATAGTATGAAAAAAATGTCATTGAAATATTCATTCCAACCTGGAAAGGAGGCCCCAATAAGAACATAGGAGCAGCGATGGAATTAGCCTATATTATGTTAGCACCATACACCAGTGCTGCCAGTCTTCCACAGTGGAAAGAGATAAATAGCCCATGACTGCAGAGTCAATCCAGTCAGGACAGTTTTCTGTTAGATAATATGTTGACATGCCATTACTGCCTGTGGCATTTTCTCTGGGTCTTCCATTTGACGGGTCCTGGACTTGTGCCCCACATTTCTTGGAGTAGATATCTATTGTAATGCTTCATTATTTTATCGGCCTTGAAGTCTTATTTCTGAGAGTATAGATTAAATTTTTATTTCTAATAAAGTAATAGAAATGTTACTCGTGGAAGACATAAAATTATCATGTGAAGTTTAACTCCTGGCTTTATATTTCTAATTACAAAAAATAAATCATTTTCAAAATCTTTGAACTAAATGACACATACTGTGATTAATGTATCATATATATCTACTGTTAAAGTGATGCTATTTTTTTGATGAAGCCTGTTAATATGTTGAGAGTAGGGCAATAAGAAGCTATATACCTATATTTAAAGCAATTATTTTGTTTATAGGATACAATTACATGGACATGGCAAGGTCCAGGAGCGTAAGTCAGTGACGTATTATTTGAATTATTTATTACTCTAAGATTTACTGTGACATTAACCCTCTAAATTATTTTTTGCTCAGATGTAAATGGCAGTGACTTAATATTTTTAAAATAAAAACTAACAATTGGGACCCAAACTGATCTGATTATTCTGAGGACTGTTAATATTGTTTGAGGCATGTTCTCTGTGAAATAACTTTTAAAACAAATAGAATGCATTGTTAATACCTGTAGGATTGTGTATGAAATGAAAAATGTATTTTGCTTTAACCTCAGAGAAAATATTGCAACTTGAAAATCTCATCCCAGTTTCCTGAACTGGCTATCTTTCATTGAAATATTTCAAATATCCCAACCATAGGAAAAATGGGAGCTTGAAACTTGCTCCCTTATTTCTTATGAGGGAGGGGGTGATATCCAGAGCTGAGCGCTATTTGCTACATAGTTTTCATTAGAATTGGCTATGGTAATATTTTAATGTCAGTAATGCTGTTTGAGCTTTGTACATCTGTGTTTGAAAGGCTCTCTTTAAAGTGTGTATAGCAGAGATAGCAATATTAGTATGTATCCAGCTGAAATAATTAATTTCTCCTTAAAAGCAGGTTCATGGTACAAAGATTGAGGGAGTTTAAGGAGAGATGTTTTTATCTTTAATGGGAGAATGTTTAAAGATTTAAATTTATTTTTTTAATTTGGGACTAAAATGAAAGCACAACATTAGAATGGAATGCAGGGAAATAGACAAGATTGCCTAAGTCAGATATCAGAATACTTTTCCGCAAAGCTGCAGTAGCAGTCTATTCTAGTCATAATAAATTATTGGTAGTAATTTTCTCTCCAGCAACAGAACAGAGTCCAACATGGCTTTTCATGTGGTAAACCATGTAGTTTAGAAAACAGTTTCTCTAACATGCACCTCATGACATGCCTAACCTAAATCAGTAGCATTAAGTGCATGACAGTGCCTGTTGATGTATTTGCTAGGGTAGAAAGAAAGTAACCCAATAATGAGTCACAAAATGTACCAATCATGAGACATAAAAGAGCCCATAGATTTGAAAGGTCGTGAATTTTGTTTCAAAAATAGACAAAACAAAAACATTGGAACACTAGTTGTTTCAAGCTCAAACAATGTTAGTGTTAACAACAGAACCAATCATAGTATATGAATTTGTGAAATGACAAGATTTTTTCTTCTTCTAAGGTTGACGATTCTGTGGCTTACCTTATGTCAGTTTCATAATTTTGTGGAAATTGAGGTAAGTATAATAACACAAGTGTAAAATTAATCTGCACTTTACTGTATAAATATTAGAAGAGAGAAATACAAAACACACAACTTTCTTGTAGTAGTGTTCTTCCTGCATTTATGTGCAGTACAGCATCATAATGTTTATGACTTTTTTGTAAAGTAAGTATTTTTACTCAACCACAGACGTGTAATAAAATCAACCCAAATAATCAGATAAGAAACTGATCTATGGATGGGGTCAGAAACTGAAGAGTTTTGTTGGTAGGGATGAATTCCTACTTTAATAAAGTTAACAATATTTTAGCTAAGCCAAAGCTTTACATTTAACACTTGGCTTTCTTCTATCAGATTTTTCTGAGACATGTGACTTCTTCAATATCTAATAGAGTTATTTTCAAGGAATATTTTTTTCACGAAAATGAAGCAAAGAATTTTCCTGTCAAAATATAAAGCAACACACTTCTAAATACAAATTGTTCATACCTGCTTAGCATGTAATTTCGTTAATAACATTAAGATAGAACAAACTGAAACATCATGGTCTTATATATTATAAGTTAACATACTTCCCATGCTAATGAAATCTAAACCATATTCTTGGTAAAACGATGTATTTGTAACTAACATTATTGTCTATCTGCAGATAACTTTTTCATTAATGTCATTTTTTGTCATTACATGCTTAACTAAAGGAATTTTAATTATTCATTTATCCCTGAATTGTTTACAATTCTTAACACCAAAATATTAAAGTAGTAAATTTTATTTGACTTTCTTTTACTCCAATTTCATGATATGACTTAATCATTCTCAGAAAAAACAGTTGGTTTTGATTTTTTCTCAAAGAAAAATTCCTTATGTTTTACTTTATTAATTATTTTATCATGGTAGAGTCCCTACAACATGGAAATACTGTGTTTTTTTCTTTAGACTATACCTTTTAAAATAGTTAATTATTCTGTATTAAATATTTTCAGTTCATCACTAAATTCATAACAAATTACATTGTAATTTGAAGCAAATTAGTAATTTGTGGACTTTCTTTGTAGCTATTTCTTAGCATATGTGACAATTTAGACTATGATAGTAAAGTAGTGGAGATATTTTTCTGTGTCTCCAATGTATTTGCAAACATTCACTGGGGTTATTTCAGATGTCTATTATATTTTGAATCTGAGATAATAAGGGGAAAATCGCCATTCTAATTTTTAAAGAATATTGCTAAGGAAATTATTTTCAATTACTTCAACTTCGTCTCTATATTTTGGGTAGATATTGGAAAGGCAACGGAAGCAACCACTTAGCTAATTCTGATAAGTAAACTATTTGGAGGACAAGATGTTTAAAGGACTGAGGCCAGCAAATGTTTGATAACTTACATAACATTTCTGGCTGACAAGAGAAATGAGATTTGTAATAGCTTCTTTTGAAAAAAGGCTTTGTTCCATCCTTTCTAAAGTAATATTTTTGAGACCTTTGTCAAAGGAGTCCTCTTAAAGACTACTACTCAGCTAATTTCTCATCTTTGTTTATAAACAAGATCTTAGAATGAGTAGTGAAAGTGGTTGGTAGCTTTCTTGATTGTGATATTTTGGATGAAGTTTATCATTTGAAAGCTTTTCAATCTAAGTTCAGCTTAAGCAATAACAAAGTAATATTCTGAAATGTTTAACTGATACTGGATTTGAATCATTATTGCATGATATCTCTGGCCTTTATTGCTAACTTTTGTAAGAAGAAATGGAGAAAATATCCTTTAAATCACATTACTCTTGGCTTATGGAATTGCACAGGCTTCTGTATTGTTCCCTGCACTTTTTAATATGAAATAAGTGGAGAAGAAATCCAGAGATTTTTCTTCAAGTCCCATTAGTGAATGCCAAGAAAATTCTGAAAGTTTTGAAATATTGTTTGGAAATGGACAAATTAATTGAGCCTTAATCCCAAAGAAGTGGAGGCTTTATTGATCAATTTATAAACTAATTTTAAATTGGATTTTGCCTATTCTGGATGAATTTGTTCTACCTGTAGTGCAAGTGATTCACATCTAAACAGTGTTCTTAGATGCTGTATTGATCTTGAAGGATCAGACATGTCCCATAAAAGGGAGTTAAATTGATGAGTACATGAGAGAAGTTATTTTCTGTAGCAGTATCCAACTATGGATTTCCAGAGGGATATCAACTCTTACTGGCTTTAGATATGCAGAAACAGATTAGTTTGTCAGGGATTTGATACATGATAATATTGAGGGTAGAGGTTCATTCGTTAGTGTCAGTGTTCTGCTTATAAGGACTTCGTGTAGTCAGTGGGTCTTGTGATGGGGAGGTCATGTCAGGTGAAAGTCACGTCAGGTGAGGGTCTCATAGTGGGTCAGATGTGGGTCATGTCAGGTGAGGGTCATTGGGAGATGAAATGCTGGTTGGAGAGGTTGCATGGGTTGTTGGGTTGGAAGCCCTTATAAGCAAATGAACACAGACATCCCCTAAATTCTGCTGAAACTGTTACCTAGTCTGGTAACAAAATGTTCGGAAACCAGCCCACAAGCTTGGAGAACGAACCTCCACCCTCATCCTACACCCAAGTTACAGATATTTATCACTATCGCAAACATAAAAATATTATTTTGGCTTGCTTTTAGGGAATGTTTTGGGTTTTTGACTGTTTTATTACAATGTTTTATTTTTTTGTGTATCTTAAAGTGGTATTCTGTACCCACAGGCAGGAAAGAAATTCATTTCACATCTGAGTGCTCTTTTAAATAAAAGGGTTTTCCCAGTTTAAAGGCTTGAATGATGGGGAAAGTAGAATTAACTATAGTGACAGGAAATCTTAGTACAAAGATAGAGACATAATTTGAGCAAAAATAGTCATTTGCTTTCTGAAGGGTTACATTTGTTCTTAGAACATGCTAATAGAGGAAATGAAAACCAAATACTTGTCATTCTGGTATTTCTTTTCAGTGATGACTATTCAGGCTTCAGGTTGTTAGATTTTTTTTTTTAAATGCTTGTTCCCATAACATTTCTTGATCTTCAAAACACAATTATTATATGTTTGTATAATGTGATAATGACTTGCATTAATATTTATTTTCCTGTGTATAGTTCCTACCTGTGTACATACCTTCAGAAGAGGAAAAGAAAAACCCATCTTTATATGCGAACAATGTGAGGCGTTTAATGGCAGAGTGAGTAAACTAAGGTTTCAAATAGCACAATGACTGCATAGTTTCAAATAGTAGGAACATTTTTAATTATATATGAAATATTGTAAGAAAAATATTTTTTTTCTGTGCCATGATGTCAAAAGATAGAGAAAATATTAGTGGTAGGAAATAATTACAGCTGTGTTTCAAACAAAGAAAAACAAATTGGAAACATTGCAGAGGCAACCAAAGACCTAACTAAATATTTGCATGCTTGTAACAGAGAGAAGAAATATGGGTAATTATGCTGTATTAATAAAATTAAGTGGTTGTGAAAAACTGCAGCTAAGATTTTATTTCCCCCATAGTGTCAGAGTTCTTATTGTGAACGCCACCTGTTTCATTGACAGTTTATATTTCATGTAAAAATCAGGTTCAAACTAGAAGCTGAGAAGAAGGCTGACAAAGGAAGTCCTATAAAAAGGGGTGCTCCTCAAGCACATATCTAGGAGTAAAATGTTTTTATAGTACTAATTCAAAAACATTTTACTAGATAATACATTAAGAGCAAAACTGTCCAAATATTGCACAGTAGTTTTTTTCAGTAATGGAAATGTCAGAATCTTTGATCCCTATCGAAGACAATATATTTTAATAGTTGAGCATGAGATTTTTTTTTAGAAATGAAAATTAGCACTGCAAAGATTTCTATTCAAGAGAAAATAGAAACTGTACATCATGAGCCATGGTGGTGCAGTGGTTAGAATGCAGTATTGCAGGCTGACTCTACCCACAGCCAGGAGTTTGATCCTGACCTGCTCAAGGTTGCTTCAGCCTTCCATTCTTCCGAAATTGGTAAAATGAGGACCCAGATTGTTGGGAACAATTTGCTGACATTGTAAATCGCTCAGATAGTGCTATATGGCACTGTGGAGCAGTATATAAATCTAAGTGCTATTACTATCATGCATACTGAAAAAGAGTTCCGTGGATTACAGCTACTTTATAAAATTGCTATTTTATATGTAAATTCTTCCTTTTAACAAACACATCAGTTGTAGCAAGACCTGTGCCTTCTAGAACCCGAGAATATTTTACTGTCAAATCTCACTTGCAGTGGATTTAGTTTCAATCTGTTAATCCTTATCCATCTGATTATAGTTTCCAAGTACTGTCTGAGAATAGATACATCACCCGAGTGTTTGATAAATATAGAAATGAGTGTTGTCACATGCTTCAGGACACTTATCTGTTAACTACCTTTGTGGGTAAACTAATATACTTTAAGAAGTCACCAAGATCTTGCAATGGGGAAATGGTTTTACAATACTCGTTGCGTGGATTTGCTGAGATCAGAAAACCAAGCTGCCAAATCCTGACTCAGGTGTTAAATTGGAATAGTCCCACTATTGAATCCTGTGGAAATTTACACTATGTAGGGTGCTGAGTAACCATTTCTTGGATCTCATTGGACAAAAAAGACTGAAATTACAAAATAACCAAATATGGTAACCTACTGTGCTGCAGTTATAAATTAAGGTGCAATTTGGAGATTGCAAGAAATGAATATGTTAAATAGGATTGGGTTATAGTCTCTTCAATGCAAATCCAACATAGTATTCTCAATTCATTACCACTGCTTCAATTCTTAGCTTTCACTTCTAATATCCAAAAGGTTTGTAAAACAAGAAAACTTCTCTCACCAGTACCCCCATGCCATGCCATGCCATGCCGTGATTGAACTTTTGAACTGTGCATCAAATAGATGCTTTATGAAATTGTGTGTGTGTGTGTGTGTGTATGCATGTATGTATATGTTTATATATGTATACATGTACATATTTTTGTCTATTTAAGGGCTTTAGGAATTTCAGTAACAGACTATACTTTTGAAGATTGCCAGCTGGCTTTGGCTGAAGGACAACTCCATCTCTCATCAAATACCTGTCTCTTAGAATTTGCAAAACTTGTAAGAAATCTTGGGTAAGTAAATTATCAATACATAATAAAACACATTTTTAACCTTTGTAATATTTTTCAGAATTGTGTGACAAACTGATTATAAAATGCATGTCACTGCTTTTCTGAGCCTGATTCAGATAGAAATGAAATACCACTTATTTTCTTCATGTTCTTAGATGTAAAAAAAATGTAATTTTAAATGTGATTTGAAAAAAAATGGCAGATTTAGTATATTATTACAGAGATTTTATATATCTGTATACACTTACTATAAACATAAGAATTTATGCTTGCTGGAATAAAATTATTTTCTCTACTAAAAGTATTTAATTTTTTTTTACAAAGTGAGAGTTCTGTTGAAATATACTTTAATTTTTTTATACAATTCAGGATACAGAATTTGTAAGGCACTTCCATTGAGAACAAAATATGTAGAGGAGTATTGCAGGAAGAAAAGATATACAGTATAAAGATTTCAGCCTTGATCTAGTATTTTGTAAAAGAGAATATAAATTGCCCAGTTGAAAATAAATTTTAACTGAAATCAGAGGTTTTTTTCCTAAACAATTTCAATTGAAACTGAGTTTTCATTTTTATGGGTTTTTAGGCTAGTATAAAGAATAGAGAGGAGTCCTCTTTTTTTTTTTTTTTTTTGGGCTTAAACAATTATTTTCAAAAAGTAATATTTTGTTTTCTTACCATTTTAAGGTTAAAGCCAGAAAAACTTGAAAAAGAATTTGATGCATACTCAGAAAGAGCTAGGAAATTGAAAAACAAAAAAGTTACTCTCAAGGAATTTGCAGAGTATTTGGAAATCCAAGTTTCAGATATGTTAGGAAACATGTTTGCACTTTTTGAAGAGGTAAGAATTCATTATGACCAGAAATACAATGCCAAAGTTATTGTATGGTAGAAAATGTTACTGTGAGTAAAATCAACTTCTTTCCATGTGCTAAAAGAAATTGCTGGAGGAGGAAATAGCTTTGCCTTGCCACGGCACATAAAAACAATTTGTCACCCTTGATCATTTTATCCACGTCCTGGAAGCCATGCCAATTTTTCCACAATGTTCAGCTGATCAACAATCAGTTTATTAATAGAGAATAAGTTTATTGTTACTAACAGCAGTTAGAAATAGCAATAGCACTTAGACTTATATACCACTTCACAGTACTTTACAGCCCTCTCTTAAGCTGTTTACAGAGTCAGCCTATTAGCTATCCTCTTCCTTCAGTGGCAAGATTGAAGCCTTTTCCTCCTGATCTGTTTAGTTAATGTGTGAGAATGAATGTGCAGATAGACCTTGGCTTATGGCCACAGTGGCGCCCAGGATTCTGGTCATGAGCTGTTGCATTTGTAAGTCAAAGGACCACATGACTGGACTTGATTTTACAACCAATTTTTATGATGGTCATAAAGCACAATATTAAGGTTGTAAAGTGAAGTACCTAGTCATTAAGTGAATCCACCATACACAAGGGGCGTTTTTTTTGCCATTTTCTGCTGGAAGCAACAAAAACATTGCAAATCACTGCAACCAGTTATAAATAACAAACACCCGATACACAGTTGTGTAATTATGGGGAGGTGCAGCAATTGTAAGTTTGAAGATGAGTTGTAAATAGCCTTTTTAAAGCCCAGTGTAACTTCAAACAGTTGTTAAGCGATTAGTTGTAAGTTGAGGACTCCCTATACATGCCTATGAGAGAAAGTGTATTTGGAAACTGGAAATGGCTATGGGTATGAGAAGATCTCACCTACTAGTCCTGTTACATATATTTTCTGGAGAAAATTTCATCTTTCCACTACAAAATTTTTCACTCTGCAGTAAAAAAAATTGCACAGATATGCTAATCAAATTGCCTATATTTATTTATACAATCACATCTTTAGAGGGTAAGTTGCTGAAAAACGAAACTATAAATAAATAAATACACTCATCAAACTTTCCAAGTCCCATTGTGATAAAGAAAATGGAAATTTACATAGATTTTCAGAAATTCTCAAGGATTTGCTCCCATTTAAATAGCAGTGGTATTAATCCCAGTTTTAGAAAATTTGTGTCTGTAAGTGCAGAAATTTCATATATTCTCTAGATACGAATTTCTGCATGTACCTTTATTTTTTCAACAGAAGGAAGATGGCCTTATTGACATACGAGAATATGTAACCGCTTTGTCAGTAGTCTGTAGACCTTCTAAAACATTGCAAACAATGCAGTTGGCTTTTAAGGCAAGTAACAGTTTTTATTTAAAATGCTTAATTAAAGGCTACTTAAAATCCAAGTTATTTTTTCAACATAGGTAGACATTAGATCACATACTGTATCATTCTATCTAGAACTCACTACCTACTACAACTGTTCTTAAATGTTACCATATGCTAAAAATCATAGCAGCAATCTGGATTGTAGAAACATGATGGCATTTTTGTCTGTGCAAGCAAAATGAGAAGGGATGGGGGGTTTTTTGGTTTGCATGACAACATGGCTTTGTATCTGGACAGGCCTTCAGTCCACAATATTTTAAAGCTGAGCTTTGGGGCAGAATTGTGCTCCCTAATGTGCAGATCTGTATCAAGAGACATATCAAACAAATTGGTTCCATTTTTTTGTCTCCAAACAGCACACAATAAGAAATAATCCCCATCTCTATTTCCTTTTGGCCATTGTTGATCACATTTCCCTGTTTATTGGTTTTGATCTTGTTGTATTTCTCTTTTTCTTTCTACTATCATTGCATCTCTTTTTTCCTAACATTTTTACTTTAATACAGTATATGTTGCCAAAGTTCTCTTAGCCAATGGCCTCAAGTCCCATCTTTTGAGAGGGGGGGGGAGTATACATACATTGTAAAAGTAAGCTTCCTACTATACATTCTTTGTGCCATCTCCATTGACTTTTGTGTTTATAGGTAGAGCTGCACTTCTTAAAGTTTTATAGATCACAATGTATACTATTACTCTAATAAAACTATACTTTCAGGCTGATCTAGCAGTGCTAGTTCCAGATGCTTCCTTGCTGAACTCGAGCATGAGTACTTTTGCTGTATTGCTGATGGAAGTAACATTGATATTCTATTGCACTACATCGCCTCTCTCTCACTCCAAGCCAAATACACTGGCAGTGCCAGTGACTTCTGGAGAGCTCTTGACACCAGGGAAATAAATCAGTTACGGGAATTTAAACACTCTGCTGATATTGTGGAGGTTTGAATGCATTATATGTCTTAAATAATTCAAAATTTTGATTCACCAAATTGCTTGACTGTAACAGATCAACCAATTTTGACCTCTGTTCCTTCTTATTCAGCTCCAGTGACTTTGAAATTCCCAACTCCGTCACCATACTTTTAAAGGCTCCCCGTTCTTGATCTTCAGGTGTGATTCTGTAGATCTTTAACAAAACCTGATGGTTCCTTCTCTGAGTCCAAGTCAACTTCATTGCAATTATTGTTTGAATATGCATAGTGCTACCATTTCCTAGTTGGAAGTTTCCACATACTCCATGTATCAACCAATATCAACACTTCCTTTAGGATTCATAGTATTCACATAGATCCTGTCCTCTTCATACCTAGACTCTCTTTGGTTCCACTCTTCATGGCCATATGTTCTGTATTCAGTTATCCATATTGATCACTAATACCTTCTCAGGCTTACCCATAAATCTCAAGTTTCTACAGTTTCCAAATGCTAATTTGAATAACCGTTGTAGTGCTTCTATCTGTCCCATTGGCTCCCTTCCCTCAAGATTGTTGTTCCTTCCTTCAAATTGTATCTATAGTTACTGTTTTTATACCTTAGCCATGGATTCAGCTCTTTTTTTCATTTCCATTGGCTCGTTGCTGTTCTGGAGCTCCTGCTTTAATTTCTGTGCTTCCAGTGCTTTGCAGCCCCATTAACTGGGATATTGGCTCATAATCTGTAGTACTTTACATCTCTGAATTGCCTTCTCTGTATCTCCTGAGTTTCTGTTTACTTTATTTTCATATTTTGAGAAATATATTTTGGCATTCTCCTTATTCTTTGTTTACCTGGCAGACTACCACTGTTCTCTTGGTAGATGTTCACTTTTGAATTTGATTATCTCAGAAATCAAGTAATTTGTGCAGTAGAGATGTCACATAGTGTCGTATAACTACTCATGGAACTGTACTGTGAACCAGCTATTTTTTCTGAGTGGTTTTCAGGCCACATAAAACACAATGCAATAGTCTAAATGAGAAGTGACTATAAGCAGTTCAGAAAAAGACAAAAATGTCATAAAAGAGGAATCTGTGCAAAAGCCCTCCTGGTCCCGACTGCCACTTGATCATCAAAGAAGACTCATAAATCCAGGAGGAAGCTCAAATTTATACTTATTCCATCCAAAAACTGTCACCACATCAAAAACTAAAAATGGTAAATTTCCAGACATGGCTGATCCATGAATCCAAAGCTAGTGCACAGGGCTTTGCTCGATACTTTTGTGAAATACAAAGCATTTTGTTGTTTTTTGTCTAATAATGAATCCTGAGCAGGATTGCCAGTTTCCCCATGGTATTTATTACTCTGGCTTTCTCAGTTAGCTCACCTACTTCTTTCTCCCATATTCATAATCTATTCTGTCAGAGCAGCTTTATATCTGAAGGCCTTTTGTCAGGAAATATGCTTCTATAACACATCTGCTAGGGTGCTTGATGTACCCATCCACTTGCTTTATCAATACAGCTCTCTCTTTCCATCTGATTCTTGTTATAGTCCATTATTTTACATGATGCTGTATCACAACCAAAACTGAGATGTTTAACAGACCTGGAGCAGATATGCATTGTTCTGTCAATATTACAGAACAAACGTCTGCATGAGTAGAAGCCAACAGAATCCAGTTAATAGGTATGCTACCTATCGTTTGTATGTCTGCATTAAATATGCATTAAATAAATGTAGTATCAAGTGGTATATATGAATTGATGTCATACATGCAATGCCACACAGATAATTCTTCATATTATACTTTGCTAGTTGATAACTTTTGTGAGAGACACTTACAGAGTAGCTGAGATAAATAAGGAACATAAACACAACATTTATTAAGTTATGTTATACTTTCAACTGTGAGTCATTTCAAAAATGTTCATCTGCTCTTACATGAATTTCCTCTTACATCCTTACTTCCTCTTAGTTTTTTGTTGTAAGAACTTACAACTTACAGGTAATTGTAAGGATTTAAAAATTAAAAGATTGTCCTCAATTTACAATTGGTCATTTAGCAACCAAAGATATGACATAAATCCCTCCCCTAAAAATATGATCTAGACAGATCCCCCCCCCACAATAAAAATATGATCCAGCCCCGAAATTACATCTGGAGCTGAACCTCTGCAGTTGTTCATTTTTACAAAAACAGAGACATTGCAATGCATGCCCTGGCTAGTTGCCCTCCATTCTATCTCACCAGGTCCCAACAGGCACTGGGCCTGCTTTGTACCCCAACTGGGTTCCACATACACCTCCCCACCCCACATCACCAATTGCTCACTTTTGAAGATCTCCATTACTGAGGAGGTCTGAGTAGAGAAGGACGACAGTCTGCTGCGCTATTGGGCCACATGGCACAGCCACTCATGTGGCCATCTTTTTCTAAGTGAAAAATAATGCTCTTGGTTTTATTTTCCTCAGTAAAAGGACCCCAAGGGGTAGGAATCAGGGCATGTGCTATCTCAGGGGGCAGGGGGAGGCCTTGAGAGCCCAAGGTAGGTGGACTTGTGCTTATACTATGCCCCCCAGGCTCTCCCACAACCTGAGGTACTTCATGGTGCACTTAATGACATGCATTTGTTTAATGAATGCATTGGGGAGAGCAGAGATGGGGGGCTATTAAAGGAAGCAGTTCACTTAACTGCCCTCCCAATTTCCAACCATAATGGGCAGGCTCCATTACAGTCAGAACTTGAGGACTACCTGTATTGTGACTTACTACTGTCTATACAAAACAAGACTCTGGATTCTTTCAGTTAATACTGTGGATTTTTGCTCCATCTTTTTTTCTGTCTTCATTGATAGCAATCTAGCCTAACTTCCTGTCATTTTGAAAATATGTTTCCAATACCTCCTTAAAAGAGAGGATTATTTTGCATTTTGGCTCAATACTTTTGAGATTCTCCTGATCTCCCTTTTCTGCATAATCCATGACACACACTTGTGGAACAGTAGACAAGGTGTGTCTCTATTGTTCAAGCCTTTAAGCATTAGAGCATTTACTCTAATGGAACAGAAGGCTCTTGGTGATTTTGCATAAGCTAGCTCTGGCCTCTGCCTATGTTTAGTTACATCATAGAAGTTAAGCGTAGTTGTTCTGAAGGCAGAATCAACAATGCAACGATTTCCTCTTTTTTTCTTGAGTATGTAACTAAGGCGCAATTTCCTGATTGCTTCATTCATCTATATACTACTAAAACACTTATTACCATAATCTTCAACTGGGTGAAACAATGTATCACAGGACAATGATTTTTGAACCAAGGGTACTTCAAATGAGCTAACTTACAGAATGTGCCCAAAATCTGGGACATATAACTCCCGAGGGAATGAAATTTGGGAAAGTTCTGGTTGCTTCAGTGTTGCTGGGTTGCAGTTGCAGCCATGCGATGCTCATTTGGAAAATATTGTGACAGTCTCCAGCTGCTCTTGCAGTCCCTCGCTTCCTCCTCAACCTAGTGGCAGCCACTTACCTGCCTGTTGGGAAGGGAATGCTTGAGAAGGATCCTGTAGTCTAGTCTGATGCTACACGAAGAACTAATGCAGATTTGGACTAACAATTGCCAGTTTCTATTCCATCAGTCTAGATACTTCATGCCTATCTACAGAAAGCATGAAACGTGATACAAAGGGATGACTCCCTAGTATTCTGTCAATAGTACCAGCACATCCCTTGGGACAAGGTTGCATGATCAGTAAAAAGCTATTGATGCAAGCCTTCCATCAGAAACTACAGCAAAGCAGTAAGTTTGTGCAGTGGGTACCATCGTACCCACTGTACCTCCAAGTCTGCTTCTTCCATGGTTGTGCATTGTCACACTTGGTTACAAACTTCAGATTACGTTTACCAGCATCTCCTCCAGGAGCCTTAAAGGAGCAACATTTGGGTGACATTTAATATTGCGTTAGCTTTAGTATGTTTAGGTAGTATAGTTCTTAATTGTACTGTCTTAAGCAGTACCTGCAATATGAAGACATCTAATAAATTATTAAATAACTGGTTCTCAATCTACAGAGAAATTTATAAACATTCTCAATTCCAGAGAGCAAAGAAAGTGCATATTTGCACTTAAAATAATTAGACAGTTTACATTGACTGGTAGGAAAAAAAATCACACCATCTTGGGGCAGAAGGAACTTGTGTACTTGGAAATGAAGTGAGGCTTTATAGTTTTCATGTGGTAAGCTTAATAGTTTAATTCATGTCTCATGATTAGTAATAAATATGGTTCTTTTCTGGAACATCAAATAATAGGTGTTTCAAGGCAGTCAAGTCCAACCTTGCCAAACTAGGCTTCTCGTCAGCCTCAGTTCTCAAATTGGACTATGACCAAGCAAAACAAACCTTGCATCAAAGGATAGAGGACATCGACAGGCAAGTGGACTTAGATATAGCTCCGCTGTTTCTGGCTGCAGACTCTCTTAGATATGTGGTTACATCTGCCAGGTATCTTAGTCAGTTGGAGTCAGTAAACCACCAGAAAGCATTCTTGCTTGCATGGTGCTATGCGTTTCCATCAGCTGTCCTGTACGGCAAGTACAAAAAGACACCATTGTCTGAAAGATTCTGCTCCTGTGGCTCAGAAGAGGTGGAGACCATTGGACACATACTCCTTCGATGTTCCTTCTACAGAGCCATTTGGAAAAACCATATCCTCTCCACAATTGATAGATATCCTGGTCGTTTGGAAAATATCTATCTCCAGTGGCTGCTTAAGGATGAGCAGGCAGAGACCAGATTCTGTGCAGCAGCACTGGGGATTCACCAGAAACATAAAATAATCATTTTCGATCTTTTTAACAATCTTTTAAAATTGATTTTATTACGTGTTTTATCCAGTTTTAGACTATACTTATTGTATTTTTAGTGTCAGGTCAGTATAATTCAGTTTTCTGAAGATAGCTTGTTTTTGATATACTGCCTGTAAAACTAGGCAGACCTTGGTCGCCCATGGATTGCATCATTGATTGTGATGTATTGCTATGGCCTCTTGTGATGGTTCTGTCTAGTTTTGTTTTATTTGGATGTTTGATTTATATGTGCCCTTTGGCTGTAATAATAATATAAATAAAATAAATAAATAATAGGTGTCCATATTTTACAGATGTATCAAACAGAAACTGGTGGTATAACAGAACAAGATTTAACTTCCATTCTGAAGAGCGTCATGGGTGTTCCAGACCTTAATGTGTCAAATCTATTTAAAGCTATAGATGATAAAGAAAAAGGGGAAATTGCATATGGTAAGTCTACAAAACAATTTCCATAGATTTTTGTAAAAGAAAATCAGACGGGGCATCTGAAAATGAACCCTGTCCAAACCAAGGAGACAATACCTCCATCAAAGCAGGCAAGGCAATTTGAAGATGTTAGCTAGTCAGATAGCAACAAGAACTCTACAGTTGAGCCCTGAACTGAATCTATACTCTTCTAGCGGTACCTGAATAGATATTGAGGCTCAATGCTAGAACCAGAAAGGGAAGGAACAACTTCAAAGCTACTGCATTTGCTTGTTTGTTTGTATAGACTATGGCTTGCTTATTTATGTCCATGCCACACCTGTAAATAAATAGATAGCATACAAAATATACTGCACTGCATGCTGTTTGGTGTTATTCATTCATATTGAAGCCTTACTAGATTTTGACTGATTTTAAAAGATGGAATGCAACTACTTTGCAGTGTTACCCATTGCTTTTAATAGCCCACATTCCATATCAATGAAATAAAGAGGTGTTCTTGAGAGAGAATCATTTATGGCAGTCCTACAATGTAATCTGCAATTAATATTGCAAAACCAGTACTGTGACTCCTGGTCAGTCCTGCTACCACATTTCCTAAGTTGCTCTATATCTTCCTTAGTTGCAAGTTCTTTTAGTCCCTGCTAAAACAATTAACATATATCCATGCTTCTTAGACACTAGTTTCTTATATGGGCTATACAGAAATCTATACTATTTATACAAAAATCAAGAAACTACCCTAGTCTTTAATTTAGTATAGAAAAAGTACATACTATTTATTTTTTCTTAAATAAAATATTTTAATTTCTTTTGCCACTTCTTTTACCTTCTCTCTGATTTTGAAAATTACCCTTAAGGTTGATAGGGGTGATATGCATAAATTGGTATTTTGAATTGCATTCTAAGGAGTTCTGAGGCATCTTGGGATTTCTTGCTAGAAAGATATGCAACAGTGAATAAATATCATTGCTGAACGTTTGTTCATAATTTTTTCACATTTTTTCTGCAGCATGCAATTATGGAAATATAATGTAATCTTAGGATGCATACTCTAACTTGAGATAGGGAGTGATCGTCCGAGAAGAGAAAAATTGAAATCTTATAAGCAATAGAAATGATAATCGCCTTTGATGAAAGATAAGGCTGTTTCTGTATGTATCTTTTTGGAGGGTATTGTGGATCAAGAGAAGCAATGTACAACATGGAAAACAAAAATAATTTCAAAAGCACTCTTACACTATTGTTCTTTAACTTTGATTCTTATAGAGTGATGATAATGATGTCTGCAAGGCCCTGTTATACACTGTACAATGTATTACTCCAAATATTCTACAATTCTAAATAATTATTAAGTTAACAACTCCAGCTTAAACATGTTCCCTAAAGTTAGATAAACCATCACTTAGCCATGCTTAGGGAAAACCTACTGAAATCAGCTCAACTTAGTTTCCATTGATTTCAGAAGACTTAAAGCATAACTAAATTTTCATTCAGCTAATTATACACAGTACTTTTAATGTGACTTAAAATGCAGAAAAAAACCTACTTATGATTGTAATTAAAATGATTGTTGAAACTGTCTTTTTTTCCATTTCTAGATGATTTCCATTATTTTACTGAAACATTCCCAAACTTTGCTGAAGAGTACCTATATCCTGATCAAGTGGAATCTAAACATTATTTGGAAACTCCTGCTCCTAATGGCTTCTGTGCAGATTTCAGCCCAGAAATTACTGAAAATAGAAGAAATTCCCTACAGAAAAAAATGAATTAATATTAATAATTTTGTCATCCTCTTGTGGTGAGGGGAGTATGTCCTATCTGGGGCTTTTCATAGTCACACAGCTATATAACCTGAAGTATGTGAGAAGGCTGTATGTGTGGATGTGTGAAAAGGAAAGAAAGGTGTGTATGAATATTTTACTGCATTAATGAGCATCTTTGGCTTCCTATTGGAAAGATCACTTTTTCCATCAGCAACTTGGAAAGTAAAGAATGTAAACAAACTTTAATTTGTATACTTAAAAACAAGATGCTTGCATATTTATATTCATTGTTTGAGTTCATGTACAAACTGTCCTACCAAGTGTGCATGTGAAAAAAAAATACTGTAGCTCCTATGGTGTCAAGTGCACTTCGGTGATTAGTGTTATCCCTATTTAGGGAATTCTTTGTGGGCCAGATTCTGCTTTCCTTTTTTACAAGGCAACATTGACTGCTACTGTCAATGGCCTTCAGAGCAAGATAAGCTCAGTTTCACCTTTTTCATTGTAATCTAGTAGGTAGGTAGCTAAAGAGGAAAAAAGTATGCAAAAATTGTTTTTATTGTGTTTCCTTGTAGGATGGCCTCTTTTGAACTTTTCAATCCATCTTGATCTCAAAAAGAACAAGGGAAGTTGTCAGGATTGTGTGCATTTTGTGCTAAAACCCCAGATTTTAGCACAGAAACACAGATTTTATACTTTAGAAAAGCTGAATTCCAAAGTCTGTCTCAATCTTATGAATTGGTTATATTTCTGCATTTCATGTTAATTGGCTCATGGATAAAAGAAGGTGAACAAAGGCGAAAAAAATGGATGCAGACCTAAGAAACACTGCCTCTGACAATTGGAAATTCAGACCGTTCTCCTCAGCCTTAAGATCTAGAAACATGCCTTTTTAAAGTTTAAAATTCTCAGGATAGCAAAATCTGCACTTAAATTAGAATTTCTATATTTCTGGGTGGGTCATGGAATACACACAGCCTTGCTATTTCCCTGTCTTCTCTGTCACTGCTGCATTTGCATGTTCTGGGCAATGATAATTAAACAAGGGTCATTTAAAAAGCAGTTTTAATGGCTTTTTGCACAGAATGAAATTTTGTATTAGATTGAACAGGCATAAAATAAACTTGCTCTATTATAATTTCTTAATATTCATCATATGGCTTCTTACAGGTCACCAGTTTTAGCTATATAATTTTGAGTGAAAGTATATATTTTTTTGGTACTATATTTGTTTTTTTTTATATAATTCCTGACTTTGTAACTACTTTTCATTGAAAAATTGCAGGTTTGCAAAAAAAAATTTAATACAGCTATTCTAGAAATGAATTTCAGTCTCAAAATGGAAGTGTGATAAGGTCAGAATGGGCTTGTTTCAGAGTCAGAGCAACTGTTTCAAACTCAGAATAGAGTTTTAAGCTAAAAAGATTTCAAATTCAAGTTAACTTTGCACTCGATACCTCTAGTGAAAACCTAGTGTCCTGGTTATCACAAGACATAATGTTAGTGCTGTTTACTACACCTTTACATAAAAATTGGCTTACTGGCTAATTACCTTTTGTATATGAATCTTTTTCCTTCCATAACCAATAGGATTATATAATTTTGAGTAACTTCAGATTATACATATTTCTTTTTAATGTGATCATATGTTTATTAAATCCTGAAAAATACATATACATTGCTTTCATCTAGTCTTAAAAAAACTTTATAAAATTTTTCTTTCCCTCTTAATCTAGTCCAGTGTTTCTCAACCTGTGGGTCGGGACCCCATTTGGGGTTGAACGACCATTTCACGGGTGTCGCCAAACAAGGCTGTCCGCCATTTTTCCCTTTTTTTTGGCCACGCCCCTGGCACCCGGTGATGTATAAGTGGTTGGGGTCACCACAACATGGGGAACTGTATTATGGGGTTGCGGCATTAGAAAGGTTGAGAACCACTGATCTAGTCCATGGGATATACTTACCACTATTTATTCTTCCCACTAATTCAGTTTATTTCCCAAGAATTCAATCACAATTTTACCAAGGCAATTCTCTAATTTATCAGCCGCACAGTACTTTGCCTCTACTCTGGATGCTGCCATTTTTGCCTCTGGATGCTTACGTTATAAATGGCTATTCTGTAAATGTACATCCACAAAAACATTTTAATGGAAGTGTTTAATTTGGTGAAATGACTAAATTTAGATTTTAATATAATTATAGACCAATTGAATTATAGACCAATTATAGACCAATATACAGTATATCTCACACATAGATAAAGAAGAATAATTTTTTTTATAAAAAATAATTCTGTTTTGAGACATGTTTTATTACAGCTCTTCTGCAGTGTGGTGCCTGCAAGTTGACATTGCACATAGAATGTATACACAGAAAGCTCTATAATTTTTAAGTCCTAGTGGTTAGAAGTATCTTCTGTGTCCTTGACCTTTCCATTTTGTAGCCATAGAAACCATATGAGATGCTCTTTTTTCAGAATTCAAAAGCAGCTCTTTCTTTCTAAGTAACTAAACAACATTCTAAAGAAGTGAGATTGCTGGTTTATTTACATGCCTGTTCTGCTTATAATATTCTATTAATTGACATAAAGATAATACTGCCTCTCTTAAATCTGAATATCTGTGCAAAGAGCTTTTTTGAACCTTGTAAGATAGTGTATTTCAAGATTGGGACCAAAGATTTTTTTTTCCTTTTAGGTTGATAGAGCTGCTGTGATCACTTCAGGCTTTCTACTTTTAGTGGGAGCAGCTTTTGATAGATTTTAGACTGTGGGATAATGACTATATTAATATAGAGTCCTACTGTGCAAGTAATTGCCACAACATTTTTATATTTCCTGCTATCATTTCTATGTTAAAGTAGGGGTGGCTTGTTTTCATAATGTTTCAAAACATAAAGGTTTTTACATATAGTAGCAGGAATGGATCTCTTGCTATCAAGTTGCTTTTATTTTACTAGTAATGCTCTTTTTGAAGAGCATATGGAGAACAAGGTTTTTAAAAAACCAACTCCTCAGAGATTTTCAAAGCTGAAATCTATTTAGAATTTGAAATAAATAATATCTTCTATTTTAAAATTATTTGGGTAAGATGGGATAAGGATAATGCAGATGAAGGCTATGTTCAATAGTATTACTATGGACTTAGCCACAGAATGATGCTTATCCTTTTGTTTTACCCACTTTTCCAAATTAGATATACAGTTTTGTGATGATATGATTGTTTGCATAAATGATTCTTAGCTGAAGTAATCTAATACATCTATAAATCTGGTTCCCCTTTCCTCCTGTTCAGTAAGTTAAACTAGATTCTGCAAAGTGCTGTTTTTTTCTCAAAACCAGAATACCATTCATCTTGAAAATAGCAGTAATTCATTATTCTCAAACATTTCTTCTAATAGTAAATATATTGTTGATTCTTAACTTGCCAAAGCACAGTGATCCAATTTTTTAAAAAAGGAAAGAGGACGATAAAGAAATACTGTGGTATAGATTAATGTTGTTAGGTGGGGCAAATAAGACAGAATTATTGTCTTATAATTGGGCATAGTTAGCTAACCTATAAGATAGGAACCCATAACATAACATTGTGAAAGGCCTAATTTGTAATTCACAAAGGCCACCACAATTGTCACCGGTATTACTTCCTTATATATAAGAAAGAATTCTACCATAGCATAGTTGAATAGGAAATGCAGCCCCTTTCAGAGTTAGGAACTTTTCAGAATCAATGGGAAGGCATTATGTAGGAAAGTTTTGGTAAAGGAATTTCCAAGAGAGCTACGAAGTTTATCAGTTTATTATATATCGAAAGAATCAGATTCCACCATAGGAAAACAAAAAGCCTCATAGGAAGGATATTCACTTGCTAAATTTTGTATTATTATTATTGTTTCTCTATTTTACCAAATGCCTTGGAAAAACAAAAAATATGCCAAGGTCCAGGACATGTATCAGCTCAATTAACTATCTGAAGAGAAATTCAGAGAAGAACTATCATCTGCTTCAGAATCAACTAACAGTGAGCTATACATCAGGGTTGCATTCTGTTTCCTCCTCCCCTTGATTCCTATTAAGTCACAGAAAGCTTCCCACCATATGAGATGTTTTATTGCATTCTCTTTTATAGGAAATATCAAGCTTCTATTGAATTGCTTCTTATAACAGAGGAATTGCTCACTAGATTGACAAAGCCTTCCCAAAAACCTGCCCCACTCAAGACTGAGCAGGACAAAACTAGGAGGGGGAAAAAAATCAGCACTGTAGAGTTTCCACCTTGAATTCTTCTCCATGCCTGCTTTCTCCATTTTCTCCTTCTACCATTGCTAGATTCACCTGTCTGAGCTGCATAAATGCTTCCTGGTCTTCTTCAATCCTAAGACTCAGTATCAGAGGGAGAGTTTATTAATAAATCTCCAGATTACTCTTACAACAGAAAAATTTGGGATGAAGACTCTCTCCTACCTCAGCATAGTCAAGATCAAAGCTAGATATCTTGTGAACACACTTCTTTGGGGGAATATCTCTTTCTCATTTCCATAAGTTTCATGTTTTCTTAACACTTCCAAAAATTAAAATTGGGTCTTATGACATCAGCCTTGCTTTGATTTTGATCACTTTTCCAATCTTATTTAAAATACTGATTTTTTAATATGAGTATTGTCACCTTTCAATGCTGTAGCCAGCAGTTTCCCTCATGCAATGGTTTTATGTTTTTAGGATATGGCTCCTTCAAAACAGAACTGACATTTGAACTTTAGTTGTCCATGGCTTTAGCTCAAATGTAACTAACTTCTCCAAACTCAGACTGGAATTACATCTTCAAGTGTTCCTCAACTCTGGAATTTTATATATATTTGAAGCGGATTGCCAAATTTGATTAAAATACCCATTTCCCAATTGTAGTGGAGGTATCTTACTCTATTTGTCCCTGTCAGCAAAACACATGGGCATGGATAAGGAGGAAGGTCTTGAACACAAGTTATAATCCTCAGAAATACTCTTTGCATTGCAAATTATCTAGTTTATATGATGAAATGCCACAATTTTACAGGAGATTCCTACCAGCCTACTTGTTAGATGATAAGTATCAGATAAGTCTGATAAAGGAGCTCACTTTGTCTTAAAAAACCTCCCTTAATTCTGATGATGTTAGCCTTGTGAGGTAGTCCCAAATACCCTAATTTGACTGGCAAAAATCTGTTAATAAAATTGGATCAAAGCTGCCTCTCACTGTATAATTCAACCAAATATCCTTTTATATATTTCTCTCTATTGTAACTCTATACACTTGTGGCATTCCAGAAGCCAATTTATTCAGTCCCAAGCAGTTTCCACTTTCCTGAAATGTATTTTCAAATAATTCTGTTGGAGATTAATTTATTTTCTAATTATTTTTAAGGTTTTCTTTTCCTGCAGTCACTGTCCTTTTATTTTCAGTTCTTTCACTTCTTTCCTTTTATTTCCACCCCCCCCCAAGATCCACTTTTGACACTGCTGGGGGGGGGGAGTCTCCCTAAGCTTTCTCACACTACTCTGCAGTCAGAGCTCTAATCTAGTGACTTGATACAGTTTTTGCATCCCACCAACTAGAATATAAGACAGTGTGCTAGTATATACTTAGTTTATTGCAAAACATTGATTTTATGGCTTTGGTATTAGGAGCCCTTGTTGCAAAGATTGTAACAACTTCAGAGACTTAAGCCTAACTCAATCCTCTATTGAATTAGTGGTTTTTGTCTTCCGAGTATTAACCACTCAATCCTATCTTGTGAGCTGCAGTCCATCCAAAACACTTGTGGGATTATTCACTATCTAGAACCAGCCTTCTTAACACAAACTCCATTAACTGTCTGAAGGAGTTATTTCTTCTCCAAGTCAGAGTTCAAATAAATCTTCTTGTACAAGTTTCTTGTTCACTATGGATTATCCATTTCCCTAAAGCTTTGTAGCTCCTCTTCTACTAGAAAAACTATTTGTGGCAATTTCATAGATATAAAAGAATCCAGTACCTTTTGAGTTTTCCAGTTCAAAAAACAAAATTGTCTTATATTGATGGGATTACCCAAGTAATGGGCTATAGTAATCTTATAATTCATTAAAAATGTCTTCTGTTGACCTTTTTTTCTATGACACCTTTAGGAGAATAAGGCCCATTACTTTAAGTAATTATTACACAATAAAACTTGTAAAAATCTTATCTTGGAATTTATAATTTAGGAGCTATAGATAGGCAATTGTTTTTGTACCCCAAACGTCTTCTAGATTTGTTTACAACCTCTTATTTCCAAATTAAAGCAGCTTAGTTTATTTTAAAGGGAACATTTTACATATTTTCATATAATGTATACGATATTTATTACGGAGAGAACTATCATTTGAGCGCAGCATAAAACTTTGATTCATTACAGGGTTTTAGACCCTTTTTAAATTGTGACAGGATCAATCTGCAGTGGCTATTTACATCTAGAATAACTATATTTATAGACTTTAAAAAAATTAAGAATTAGCAATTTTCTCTAAATGTTTTGAGATTACTTCGTTACAGCTATACCTAATACGGATCACTGCTTGAAGGCAAGTAATGATTCAGTCCAATACCTACTTAACTCTCAGTAAGTTTCATGAGTTGATATGTTTAGAATTTTTCGGTAACATTTACATTTGGACCAATAACCTTTGCTATTATGGCAGTAGCTATTATCTGTATTATTTGACAGGAGTTCTAACAGGTTAGATTCAAACTTTAGTTAAATTCCATATGACAGTCAATACTGCTGAAGTCCTT